TTTTTGGCATAATATTTATTTTTAAATCAAAAAAGAAAAAACGAGAAGAAAAGAGTGGATAATATTGGATAGATGAATGACAAACAACAGTAGATGAAGAAATATTATAAGAATTGCTAATTACAATAATAATTAAGTATATATTATTGTTATTATTATCATTGTTATTAATTATTGATTATTAAAATATATGCCTATACATATGTGTCTACATACATATACCCAAAGGGTTGTAAAATTTTAGTCCAAAAGATAGAAAGGAAAATTGATTCCTTCTATACTATGAAATAATAGCTTGTTTATCATTATATATTTTATCCTTTTATGTTTACCGCTTTTGTTTCATCAATCCATGCCACAACGGTAAAATTAAATTTCATAAATTAGAAACCGATAGTATAGTCTTTTAAATAAAGTGAACAGTGATTATGATGAATTTGGGATGAAAAATCTTAATTTTAACTACCTATAATTAATCATTAATTAAAGAATTAGAAATTTTTAACTTTTATTTTGATTGACAAAGAAAAAATTGCAATGGATCTCTTATCATTGTCAAATGATATCGTCGTAAAATGATAAGTTGTTAAAAATGAATGTATTTTGAGAGAAGAAAAAAAATGAACGAGAAGAAAAACAAACTGCTAAAGTTTAATGAAATGTTCAATTTTTGAAATTAGAAATTAAATTAGATTTAAAGTTATTGGAGGATGACAATTTATTTAAAAAGTCATCCGGAAAATCAATGAAAATTTTGTTGAGCTCTTCATCACCTTTGCTTTAATCATATGACCTGTTTCAGTAATTTTTGACAATAAAAAGAAAATTAATAATAATTTGCGTATTTTATTTACTTTCCATAATTACGATAATTGACAAGAGCAACGATAATAATGGTGATAATAATAATCGACGAAAATGTAAAATTAAAAATATATGAAGATGGCAAAAAGAAATTTTTACTGAAAAGACGTTGAAAAAAAGAAAATTACTTTTCGAAAAATTTTTAAATTCATACAATTTTTTAACTAAAAATTATTTTTTCTTCTCTTCTTTATATTCCTTCCCATTCCTTCTTCTCTGATCATTTTTGACCTAATAAATATGCTTTAATGTATTAGAATGAATCCAGAAATAAGTTATTCGTCGTGAAAATATCCAATAGATGAAATTGAGCGAAATATTATATAATGGTAATACTAAATAGCAAAAACATAGTAACAATCACATAATAACAGTAATTAATAGTAATAGTAATAGTAATAGTAATAGTAATAGTAATAGTAATAGTAATAGTAATAGTAATAGTAATAGTAATAGTA